AGCAGATGCTTTTTAGTACAAGGCTGCTGCCTTAGGAGGGCCTCTGAGGCGACCTTGCCTCCCTCCCTCCCTCCCCTGGAGCCTCCTCCCCACTTCCTCCTCCCTCCCTTGCTCCTCTCTCTTCCTCCCCTCCTCCCTCTCCCTCCTCCCTTTATCTCCACTCCCTCCCTTCCACCACTAGCCCTGGACCTTCTCACTCTGCCCTCTCCTCCCACCACCGGGTGCCAGATCCCCCCAGCCCCAGCCCTGGCCCCCAGTGGCCGCCCACCCTCCAGCCCGGATCCCACGGGGGACACTGGGAGCTGCAGCAGGGTGCAGAAGGGCCGCTCCCGGTCCCCGACACAGTGTGGACTTGGAGAGGGGCAGAGTACCCGGCCCAGCCCTCCCAGGCCGACACGTGCAGCATGGCGTGGCATGGCATGGCGTGGCGTGACGTGGTGTGGCATGACGTGACATGTGGCCCAGCAACCACCCGCAGGGAAGGGCTGCAGGGTCTCTCCCAGGAGGCTAAGGGCAGCTGGAGAAGGCGGCAACCCCCACCCCAGGCCTGAAGAGTCGGCCACCTTTGGCAAGTCCTGAGCCTGGTCGTGAGGCTGGGGGGAGCTCGCCCTTGGACCCCCCAGCCACAGCCCCGAGCACGTGATTAAGTCCGCTCACGTACAGAGGCGCAGAGCCCACTCAGCCGGGCTTCCCAGCCCTCAGACCCAGCCGCTGTCCCTGAGGCTGCGGTGAGAGCGGCGACTGCACCTGGGCCCGGCACGCACTGCCCGGGACCTGGGGGTGTCTGCTCAGGGCTGAGGGGGGCCCAAGGGAGGGCGGAGGCTCTGCAGGAAGGGGAACAGCATTGGCGCCTCCCTGAGCACTGGCCTGCCCTAGGCCCCCGCCACCTCCACGCCTGGGGGCATGTCCCATTTTCACGGGGTCTAAAGTGAGTGCTTTGGAGGTGACCAAGGCATGAGCAGACCAGACGTGTCCTGCTGAGACCGGGGACAGACATAGAGAGATGCCAGACCCCCCCAAGCAGGGCTGCCACGTCCGTGGGTTCATGCATTTTGTGCTGTGGAACATTCTACCAAAGCACACGCCCCGGTATGTGCACGCCTGCTAGCCCTCCGTGCTGCCAAACACAAATATCTGGGCCAATGTCACGGGCAAAAAGAACGCCAAATCCCGTTGTTTTGTTCGTGATTAAAATCGCCTGATTAAGAAGCTCTTCAGACGTTTATTGCTATTTTTACTCCTCTTCTGTGAACTGCCTGCTCAGAGCCTTCATCCATTTTTCTATTGAGAGCTGCTTCAGTTAATTTACAAGAGCCTTTTGTTTATTAAGGGTATTGCCACTTTGTCTATCAGAAACGTTGCAAATATTTCCTCCGGTCTGTCACTTAGTTTTTATTTTTAGTCCGTGTTGTGGGGGGAGGGGGTATCAGCACTCAGAGGTCTGGCGATTTTCCATCGGTTATTATTTTCCTTTATGGCTTCTGGGTTTTGCATCTTGCTTGGGAAGCTTCCCCCATCCGAGAGTCTAGCATTTTTCTTCTCTTCTAACGCTCTAGTTATTTGTAATTTATAACATCTTTTGTCCATGTAGGACAGTTGTTTGGTATGGAATAAGAAACTAACTCTCATAGATTTTGGCCAAGTGGAAGGCGGGGATCTGGGGTGTCCCGGCGTGTCGGGGAAGGCAGGGGAGAGCAGTTCCCTAGGAACTGTGCGTGCCGGGCCCCCCACCCCGGCTGCCCGCACCTGAGCAGCAGCTGCACCGCGGCGTCTATGGCCAGGATCGTTTGGAAGCTCTGGGCAGCTTCCCGGCAGGTCTGGTTGTCCCCTCCTCACCTCTGGGGCAGGGTGCTGGCGTGTCCGGAGCCACTGTGGCACCGTCCTCCCCCCAGGGCAGGACCCTCATCTCAGACAAGATGATGGATGAGGGGCTTCCAGACACGGTCCACTGGGCCACACCCAGCAGGGTCTGCGAGGTGAGAGGTTCTGAGATTCCCGCAAGGAGACCCGGGAGGCTGCCGGGGCTGCAGGGACCTTCCCAGCCACTTCCCGAGCTTCCTCCAGGGATGGAAAGAGCTTTCCTGACATTCCTTCTTCTGGAGGTGAGATGCAGATGGGACATCGAGGTTATGGTCACAGCTGTCACCTAGGGGATGCTTCCGTGCCCCGAGCCCCAGGCCACACAACAGCCCCGCAAGACGGGCTCCACGATCCCCACTCAGCCGAGGGGAAAACAGAGGCTCAGAGATGTCGAGTAACCTACGGCTGGGCCACACAGCGTGCAGGGAGCTTGAACACACCCAACAAGGTTGTTGAGATGACTGGACCAGACAACACAGCAAAGTGACCACTGGGGTCTGCACACAGTAGGTGCTCACAAATTTCATTGCTGTCCTCTGCCTCCCTCCCTTTGCTCTCCGTTCCTTCCTTTCTTTCCCAGGAGACTACATCACTGCCTGAAATCCATCAAGACGATGGCAACCAGCCCGCGCCTCGAGACGGGACACAGCGAAATACAGGAGAAACGGAACTCGGCGACTGAGAGGCAAGCACCTTCGCCCCCAAGCCTCCCCGTGTGGCAGGTCCCCAGACAGGTATCCCCGGGACTCCCCAGCCCTGAGCAGCTCCCTGTCTAACCAGATGTTCACACCTGGCTCTGGGGCGGGAAAAGTTTCTACCCACGAGGCAGCTCTCAGGACACAGGGGAATCCGGAGGGGCTTTCTGGAGGAAGGGGGGGTGGCTATGATGCGATTGCCAAGGATTTGAGGTGCTGGCCACGACTAGGGGACCGGGGTCCCGCCTGGGAGGCCTGTTTCCTGGTCGTATGGGAAGTGCAGAGCTAGAAGTGAGAGAGAACGTTTTAAAAACTTGTTGAAATGGACACCAAGAAAAAGTACACAACATGCTCTATAATTTTGTGTATAAAAATGCATAAACGGTTTTTAAAGTGGTGTAGAAATCAGGGTAATTGCCACCCCTGGAGGCTGCCGCCCGGAAGGAGGGAGGTGGCGGGAGGTTTCCCGGGCGCTGGGGACGCTGCGGTCTCGTTCCAGAGGCCGACTAGAGCGGTGCCCGCGCGCTGCGGGAACACGCGGCGTGTATCCGTGTGATGCACGGGCTCTCCCGCCTGTGCATTACACGCCAATGAAAAGTTAAAGTTTGTTGAAGCTGGAGCTGGGGGACGGAGAGCCTGCGCATTATTCGGGGGGCAGGGGCAGGCCCAGGAGGCCGCCGCGCAGTGGCAGCGCGGCCAGAGCTGTTTCCGGAGGACGGGCCGCGGGCGGGCGAGGCGGGCTGCGGCGGAGGGGCGGGCTGGCGCTGGCTGGGAGGCTGTCGCAGCGCAGGTGGGAGGTAATTCACAGCCGCCCTGGGGAGGGGACGCCGTGTGAAAGCTGTCTGGGGCTTCATTAAACACCAGAAAGAGAAATGAACCAATTTCGCGGCCCTGGTCCGTGACTTCTCTGAGGATGGGAAGTCAAAGGCTGCGCGACTGAAGGCCGGTAGCAATCCGATTAATTCCCCTGGATAAAGCCTTTAATCTAACACATAACAGCGGATTCTTGTTTTTCCATTAAAAACAATACCTCGGCCCCCACATTGGCTGCCAGGGCCTTAATGAGATCCCTTTCCCACCCGGGAGGCTGAATCGGACCTTTGTTCTTCCCAGCACGGGTTCGCAAGATTGCTAGCTTGGCGGTAGCGCCAGTCGCGGCATTTGCATGGGTGGGAGCGGCGGAGTCCTGGGCGACCTCAGCTGAACTGAAAGGCAGCCTAACTTCTGGGGGGGGTGCAGGAGGTGTCTGGGGCCCTGCTCCGGGGAGGGTGGAGAAAGCCCAGGGCTGTGAGGTCAGAGACCCGGGTCTGTCCCGCCTCAGTGTGGCACCAACTCACTGAGTGGTCTTGGGCACGTCTCGTCCCCTCTGGCTTCTGTCTGTTCCGTGTGGGATGGGCGGATTGCCTCTCAGGAAGGCCGTTCACCCATGCAATCCAGTCCCTAGGCACCGGGCCCCTGGCGTTGAGGACTGAGTGTGCCCGAGAGCAAGTATCACGCTGGTCTGCCCAACTCTGGTGGGGACCACATTCCCTGACACTCGGAAGCAGCAGGGGGGAACACTTAGGACGTGACACAGGAAGTTCTCTGGTGCCCATGCAACGGCAACATGGCGGAGGAGAGACATTCAACCCGGACCTCCAACAGAAAGTGACTTTTCACCAAAGGAGGGGGTGTAAACACTGCCTGCCTCCCTGGTGTGCCCGGAACTTTCCTGGTTTTAACTCTGAAAGTCCCGCATCCCGGGGAACTCCTCCGTGCAGGCTGGCTGGTTACCCTGCCCCAGCCCTTGATGAAAACTTGGCACTCAGAGTGAACAGGCAGCAACAGCACCTACAGGGCCCGCGGCTGAGTGCCACGCGGAGACGCAGAGCCGTCCTGGGAGCAGCGGCACCGGGCGGCTGACTCACAGCACAGAGCGAGTCTGGCCACACTTGCCCTCCCATTCCACTCCCAGAGAGGAGGGACTGGAAGTTTCCCTCAGAGTCCAGTCGAAGCCCCATTGCCGATCAGAATGGGACTGTCCCACAGACTCTGACTAGTGATGGGTGTTTGGGGTGGCGGGTCAGATGGACGGGCACTCTTTCTATGCTGGGGTTCCGCCGGCCTCACCAAATCTTCTTCTGGTCTCCAGAGATCCCTGAGCTAACATGATGCCCCCCAGGAGGGGTCAGGGAGGAACCACCTGCCCTGGTGACCCCACCTGACATCTGCAGCCAGAATTCGGAAGCCAGAGGGGCCAAACCGGGTGAGAGGCTCCCCCTCCCCACCACTCCCCTGTACTTTGGCTTCCAGGCTTAATTCCAACTGGACTGGAGCCAGTCGTGACCTCAGGGGCTGGCCCACCTCGCAGGGCTCCGGAGCTCCAGCCACCGCTAACTTTCAACATGGAGCAAGGCCATCATCGGGCGGCCGCCAAGACAGGTCACAGGCCTTGGGCATGAGAAATCACTGTCGAGGTAGATTTATGGCAGCCATAAGTTCTGAGGCTGGAAGTCTCACCTCTGCTAACGAGGTGTCCCTGGAGGGATGTCCAGGATAGGCTTGGATGCCTGACGGGCACACACGGGCCCAAGAAGGTTACACGCTGCGCCGTGCAAATCCGGCTGGGACGCCTCCTGTCCAGGGCCCGGTGGGCTGGGGACACAGCTCGTGGGAAACAGCAACAGGCAGTGACCTGTGAAATCGGGGGCAACAGGATGAAAACATTTTGTCACTGAGAAAATATGTTTATGCTGATTAGAACAACATTTTTCGGGCTCATGTAAAATAAACATATTGGGTCGAATGTTGCTGCAAGTGCTACATTTACAAAGAGAAGAGGAAAGTATGAAGTTGTGGTCGGGAGTTGGCAAGTATGAAAAATTACAGTGGGATTAGCTTCTTGCGCTGCAAATTGGAAAATTCAGAGATGTGTGGCACTGCTGCCGAGGCCCAAACTCCTAAATGAAATTTATTATTTCTGTAAAATCTGGGAACAACATCTTCAGGGATAACAAATACAGAAGAAACATGATTTCAGCCTCGATATTTGGTCTCCTCGCAGACGGTTTTCATTAAAAAGGGCTTTATAAAAATGATAAAAATGTTACAGTTTGCTAAATTAAGTCTGAGCAGCTCTATTTAATAATCTGGTGCATTTTAATCATTTTTTTGAAAAGCCTGACATATCGAAAAGAACTTCAGTCTTGAGTGCCACTAACAAAGAGAAAAAGAAAAAGAAAAAAGAAAAAAAAAACTCTCATCTTGGGTTGTTTTGTGCAATTCTCTACTGAAACTTGTCCTCTTAATAGCAGCTGGTGTCAGGTGAGCAAGTCTGAGACCTGGCACTCCAGGCCTCCGGGCTTTTGTAGTGTGACAGGGGCCAAGTGGCAATGGTTTTTTTTTTGTTGTTCAGTTGTTTCTCAGGAACCAAAGTAAAAAAGGATAACCACTCTGTTTCTACCCTTTGGCCCCATAATGCAAGATGCCCAAGAATGTGAGTGCATAAGGTGAGAGGATCTGGGAGGAGGCGGGAGGAACAAACTGTAACCTGAAGCACAGCATTAAGCTCTCCAAGTACATCTTTTGCCAAATAACAGTGGAGAGGGGCCTTCTCATGGGTCCTTAGAGAGTCTCTCAGTTTTGGAGGAGGAAGTTGAATTTTAGAGGCAGCTGTGAGGGGGTTGTAAGAGCCCTGGACACAGATTACAGAAGCCCAGAGCTGTGACGTCATCTAGGACTAAGGATTGCATGGATAGAAGGAAGTATGCTTGAGAGAATGGATGGGTGAGTGGATGGATGGATGGACAGATGGATGGGCAGATAGATGGATGGATGGGTGGGTGGATGGGTGAGTGGATGGATGGATGGGCGGATAATAGATGGATGGTTGGGTGGATGGGTGAGTGGATGGATGAATGGTTGGGTGGATGGGTGAGTGGATGGATGGATGGTTGGGTGAATGGAGGAATTGTTAGGTGATTGGGGGATGGATGGATAGGTAAGTGGATGGATGGATGGTTGGGTGGATGGGTAAGTGGATGGGTGAGTGGATGAATGGTTGGGTGGATGGTGAGTGGATGGATGCATGGTTGGGTGGATGGGTTATTGGATGGATGGATGGTTGGATAGGTGGATAGGTAAGTGGGTTTATTGGATGGATGGATGGATGGTTGGGTGGATGGAGGAATTGTTGGGTGATTAGGTGGATGGATGGATGGGTAGGTGGATGGGTCAGTGGATGAATGGTTGGGTGGATGGTGAATGGATGGATGGATGGTTGAGTAGATGGAGGAATTGTTGGGTGGTTGGGGGGGTGAATGGATGGATGGGTAAGTGGATGGATGGATGGTTGGGTGGATGGGTGAGTGGGTGGATGGATAGCTGGTTGGATGGAGGAATTATTAGGTGTTTGAGTGGATGGATGGATGGAGGAATTGTTGGGTGGAGGAATGGATGGATGAAAGTTTTGGGTCCTGATCGCCTGTCATGAGGGTACCCATATGGACACACACCAAGCACTGTGTGAAGCACGGCATTATCTTGCTCAACCTTCAGCACATTCCCCTGTCAATCTCTGGTGGGCGCTGTGGTGCAGACAACATGGCACAGCCAGTTGCAGACTCACGTGGGCTTTGCAAGTCTACGTTCTGCTTCAGAACCCTGCAGCTTTTTGTAAAACCACCCTCAAACCTGTAAGTCTTTTTATCATTAAAGATTACGCTTTTGGTTGATGGAAAGTTCCAGAACTCAGCTTTCCTGGCCTTTATCCTATAGATCTTTCCATGGCCTTATGATGTCCAGATCAAGCACTAGGAAGCAGGAGAGATGAGCTTTGGTGAGCAGTCGGTTGAAGTAGCACTGGGGAAGTTTCCAGAACATTGCAAATTGTGAGAAAGGGAAGGCAAGGGCAGTGGAGGCAGCAGGGTGGTGCCGGCGCTGGGCACCGGGGGAGGGCCCCTATGGCGGGGTCCCCGGCAGATGGATTAGCAGGGGAAGGTAGATGCCCGCTCCAGAGGGGGAAGTCTTTGTCTTCAGTTTTCTTGGTGAGCCCTGCTGGCCGGAAGGGTCCCAGCCACAGAGTGGAGCCCACAGGACGTCGGCTCAGTGGGAATGCAGGGAAGGAAGGTGAAGGCCTGGACCAGCCCTAACCACGCCCTGTCTGCTGGACGTGCTGTTGGAAGCCACCTCACTTCCCTGGACCTCAGTTTCCTGCTCCCTGGAGTGGAGCCAACACTACCTACACTCCGGAGCCACTGTGAGGATGAGGCAAGAGAGTGGGTATGGTTCGTCACTGTCAGTTTGTCACTATAAAGGGCCCATTGTCGGACGCAGTGGCACATGCCTATAGTTCCAGCTACTCAGGAGGCTGAGGCAGGAGGATCACTTGAGCACAGGAGTTTGAGGCTGTTGTGCGCTATGATCACACCATTGCACCCCAGCCTGGGTGACAGAGTGAGACCCTACCTCTATGAAAAAAAAAAAAGAAACAAATAAAAATAGAGGGCTGATTATGCAGATGGGGCCCAGGACCCTCTCTAAGCCCTGGAACCTGCTCTCTAAGATCCAGGGCCCTGAGCACAACCACGGCCCCAGAATCCACTCCCTGGAGCCCCCGCCTCTCCTCAGACTCCCCAAGAAGGACTCTCGGGACTGGGCAGCCTCGGTGGCAGGAAGCAGACAAACCTCGACTTTGGCAAGGAGAGGTGAGCAGAGCCTGGAGCAGTGTGGACCAGAGACGCTCTGGAGGCAGCAGGGGCCTCGTCGGTGTCGGGTGGGACCTGGGGGTGCTGCCATCTCCGGTCAGGGTCGCCCAGGCAACAAGGCTGCCCTGTGGTTGCCTCATTTGGGTTTTTCTCATTTTTCGTTTGTGATGACCTTATGAAAGGTTACTTAACTGCAAAGCAAAACCATCCCGAGCTACTAAGCAGGATGTCACTCAGGCCCTGAGAGCTGCGTGGTCTGTGGGTGGGCGGCCTCTGCGGGAACATCACCCCTGGTCACCTAGGAACGGGGCTTCGGCTGAGAGGAGCGGGAACGCTCCTTCCGCACTGACCTCGAGGTCCCCATTCAGTGACATGGTGTCACTCACCTTGCTCCGTCAAGATGCAGACTCCGGCGCAACCAGCACAGACAGAGCTCCGGCTGAGCCCACGGCTCCGCGTCACCCAGTGTCACCCATGAACGGGGCCGTCCTGCAGCTCTGGCTGCTGTCAGGCGGGGAACCCCATCTTCTGTCTTTCCCCGGCTGACCGGGGAGACCCTGGGGCCGAGTAGCAGGGCAGGGAGGGCCTGCTGCCGGGACCTCTGTCCAGGGTCCACTTGCTCTGTGATTTTATTGAGATAACTTATGTTTCCTCTTGTTCCCGCACCGCCCAAGGGGCCCTGTCGATCCAAAGCTGCACTGAGAGCCAGAGGTGACCTGCGTTTCCTGCCCACTGGCTACCAGTTTAGCAATCCCATCGCCGCAGAAAACAGGCTTCATTCCTGGTTAATGCAAGAATAGTGGTCCCAGGACCGCCATGTTCTGGTTCAGAGGCTCACAGGCCATCTGCTGTGTCTCTTCTGGAATTCGGTTGAAAACCACCAGGAAGCTGTGCCCGTGGACCTGCTGGGATCTTTCTGACTCCTGTTTGATGCCTGTGGTCTTGAGACACCTGTCCCGCCCCCAAGGGCTCTTGCTGCCACCGCAGAGTGGGTGGGACGAGGTCCTAGGAGCAAGGCTGACACACCCGAGAGGCAGCAGAGCGGCCTGGGGCTGGAGAAGGGAAGGGCCGTTTCTGGCAGGGACTGGGGAAGCCAAGAGGTTTTGGGGTGCCTGGGGACTCTGGGACTCTCAGCGGTCTGGTCCCCGAGTCTGCCCCGCCAGAGGAGGCTGGGCTGCAAGGCCAAGCCGGGTCTGCTCGGCGTCCCCGCCCCATCTGGGCCTGAACACGGCAGACACCTGACTGCAGGAATCCTGACCTCAGCTGCCACCGGACACTCTCCTCCCGCACCTGCTAGAGGAGGGGCCTCCAGGGAGGGGCGCTCACTCCCAGCCCAGCTGGCCCCAGTATAAGAACCTTCTGGAGGTGACCCGTCACTGACCACGTGTGGCCCCACAGGGGAGCCTTCTGTGGCTGTCAGGGCTCCAGGCCTGCGGGCAGCTGGCCCCGTGGAAGCGTGGCTTGGCTACACACAGGGACGGGAAGGACGCAGGGGCCTGGGTGGGACCCCTTAAGAAGGGGGTGACCTCCAGCGCCCCAGGAACCTGTCCCCACTGCTCACTCCCACACCTGAGAGCCACGGGGGCACTTCTGGGAGAAAGTGGCTTTGGGCCTGATCCCAGGACATGGCAGGGCAGAGGGGAGGGCCACAGGAGCTTGTTCCTCCGCGGAAAGTGGGAGACGGGAGGCCCAGGTCTGATGTGCTAATGGGGTGCTACCCTGGGTACATTGCTAGGCACAGAGTAGGTGCCCTCTAATTCCAGAACCTTCTCTGGCCCCTTCTGCCCTTGGGAGTGTAGCAGGCATGGGAAGGCAACTTTTATATCCGTCCCTAGCCCAACACCCCAGTCTTCCTGTCTCCGGGCTAAATACTTGAGTCCTTGAACGAAATACCTGTGTGACAGGCTGGCCACCTGCTCTGGACGATCTCCCGAGCCGCCATCAGGGGTGGCCCGATGGCACCCCTGCCCTCCCGGGGACTGGAGGGCTCCCCTCCGACTCGAGCCGCCGGCTTCTCCCAGGCTGTCCCCACCCCCTCCCTGTTCCTCTCCGCGCCGCCCGCTGGTTTCGGAGCCTGGAACGTCTGACATGTTTTCCCAACATTTGCTTCTCATTTCAAAGTGTAAACCTGGCAAGAGGCACTCGGATCCCGTCAGAGAAGGTTCCGTGCTTCTCTCCTCCTTATGTTCCTCTCCAGCGTTCTGCCTTCTCCTTGCGGGGAAGAGTGGCTCTCCAGTGGATCTTGGGCGGTTGTTCTGACTTGACCGGCCCAAGGAGCTCAAGAACAGTGCGTGGTGGGACCAGCCCAAGTCCCTGGCAGCCTTCGGTGTCCCGTCGATTTTTCCAAAGAGATTTTTGTGCAGAGGGCATTTTTTGGGCTCGTTAGGTTTCTCTGGTCCGTGCTGACGGCTGTCCACAAGTCACCACATTTATCATGGGTGGGCAGCGGCCCCAGCCAGCTTCCCGCCCGAGTCTGCTGACGGGCCCAGCCACCCTCGTTGGCGGTGGGGGCAGCCGTGGGCCGGGGCTGAGGTTGCTCTCCCATTGCGGCCGCCTGGCAGGGCTGAGCCCCCATCTTCACCATCTGCCCCAGGCCGAGTTCCAGCCTCCAGTGTAGACAGGACTGTGTCTGCGAGTCAGAACTGCCCCGTCCCCAGTGAAGGTGGCAGAAAGAGGGAGGGTGAGATGGTGCGGCAGCCGTGCACAGAGCCCGGATACACGGGGCACAACCTGTGCCATCTCGGGACCTTTGACCTCCCAGAGCCTCAGCCGTGTCATCTGCACCAGGGAAACGGTAATGGCACCCACGGCCCAGAATTGGTGACGATCACGTGAGCCGTGCCTGGCACGGGGCGAGCCTCCCGCAGAGGCAGTTGCTGCTGCTGCTGTTTCCTGTTCCATGCTATTCCGACTCACCAGGGCTTTCCACTTATTCATCTCTACTTATTCAAGTTGCCACGGCCTCGCACAGGGCTGGGCATTCTGAGGGGTGTGTTTTTCTTAGGGGAAGGACTACTAACAGCCCGGGGACAGGCGATTAGGACGGAAGCTCACCTTTAGCAAGTGACATCTGCAGCCTGGGCTCTCTAAGAACGAGGTCTGTGAAGGGGTCCCCTCTGCTGTCGCCTTCCAAGAGCTTAAGGCAGGCCCAGGGCTTCTAGGCCTGGCGGGCACGAGGTTGGGGTGAGGGGGACAGATGCCCACCCTTGCTGAAAGGCTCCCTAGACAGAGTGAGCTTTCATTCTCCGCTGCAAGGAGCCCAGGGCGCCCAGTCCCCAGCCCCAGCTCACGGGGGCCCACCTGACTCCTGGCAGAGATGGGGCACCAGGCAGGCAGGGAGCTGCAGGAGCAGAAGGGCCATGCCAGGTGTGGGTCCGCTCACCGGCCGCTGGAGACAGCAGCAGGCCTCCTGACCTAACTAAAGGACAGTCCAAATTGCCTAGGAAACAAAAAAGGCACAGTCCCCCGACCTTTGTGGGCTAATAAGGAGGAATATCTGATGTTATAACCATTGCATTATTAGCGCAACCAGGACAACCTTTGTGGAGGCACAGCCTGCAGACTCACCCAATTAGCACGGACACGGGGACGTGGCCCTCCCCTCCTCGCCCTGCCGCCTGGCCCGCCCTGCCCGGGAAGCCAAGCAGAGGCCGGGGCCACACCGCAGCCTAGCGGCAGGGAAGGGCTGGGCTGGAGGCAGGACTCCGGCGGTCCTTGCTTCTCACCAGCGGCTCCACCTTCCGGGTCAGCCTGGGGCCTCGCCCTCCGTGCTGGGCCCTGGGGAGGAGCCGGGCAGGCTGGCGTCAGGGCACACTCGCTGCCATGTGGAGTCACGGTGGGCCGGCGGCGCCCAGCTGGAGGCTCAAGGAAGGCTCCCTGGGGGAGGACAGGGTGGGGGCGGGGCCTCCAGGGTGGAGCAGGGGCAGCCAGGTGGCCAGGTGGAAGAGGTAGCCGGAACCTGCTGGAAACTGGGTGGGCCGGGACCTAGGCTGAGCCCTTCTGCTGCTCCCCCCGCCTCTGGGAGCTCCGCACCCGTCCTCACTCCTGTGCGGGAGAGGCTGTCTCTGCTGCTCACAGCCAGGGACCTTTGGGACAGAAAGCGAGTCCCTGTCCCCTCCGCGCCCTGGGCCAGCAGAGCTGCCTCCTGCACCTGTCTTCTCCCCTTGCGCTGCCCCCAGCCCACCTCTGCCTCTCCCACACGCGGTGGGAGGCCCGGTTTCCCGCACCCTCTCCCACCGCGAGCCCCCAGGCCCCGCCCCACAGCTTCCCCGGGCTGTGCGGCAGGCCCAGGTGGGACAGGGGCTTCTGCCAGGACTCACTTCGGAGGGAGGGGCAGCAGGGGAGAGGAGAGGGGCCTGCGCTCCCCAGGGCTTCACCAGTGCCGAGTCCTTGTTCTCGGAGGCCTTGAAGGACATGTTCAAGAAGCTGCGTGAAACTGTGGTGAGAAGACTCTCTCCTGTGGTTCCCTGGGGCGGCACTGCCCGCAGTCCAGGCTGTGCACCTGGGGTGTGGGCAGGTGCTCTGGTGCTTGGTCACAGCCCAGCGGGGACATCCTGGGCTATGCTCAAAGCAGCCCCGTAGCAAGGAGGCCCAGTTCTGGACTTGCCCCCGCCTCTAGTCTCCCACTTGGTTCTGGGTGACCGATGCCCAACCGCACGTCCCTTCCTGCCCTGCGGCCAGGCCCGGCCTTTCCTCTGAAGGTTCTCTGTGCCCGGCCTGCTGGGGGAACAGTAGGCGCTGAGACCCGGCAGGCCCTTCGGAAGCCACTGAGGCCGGGAGGGGCTTTTCTATCCCAGAGCCCTTCGACTCCTGGGGAGGGTCAGCCTGAGGCCGGAGCTCAGGGGACCCTGAAGATCGCCCAGCCTGGACCTCGGGGCCTCTCCTCTGCATTCCCCTTCCCTTTAAGCCCACCACTCATGGCCGCCTGCACTTACCTGTGCCTACCTGTGTCTCCCCGCGCCTGCCCGCACTCACCTGTCTCCACCTGTGCCCACCTGCACCCATCAGGAGTCAGAGCCACTCCCTTCTCGTGCGCTGGCCCTTCCCAGTGGCAAACAAGACACCGATTATAAGGGGCAGGAGGCTGAAGGCTAAGTTCCCTTTATGTAAACTTCTTTTCTTACAAGGGGATTGAAAACACGTTTGCAAAATCTGCACCCTCAATAACAACGCTCCCGCAGCGGCTTCCGGATGTGCCGTCTGCTGGCGTCCCAGGCGCAGCACGGCCCGGGCTCTCCACGGCCAGCGCAGGCTAAGGCCAGGAGCGGGCACGCGGTGGGGGCCAGACCGCGGGGCCTGCCCTCCATCACACGGGAGCCGTGTCCTCAGCCTGGCACCCGCGCCACCTTCACCCGGCCCTGGCCAGAATCCCCGGCCCTCGTCCTCGAGGCCCTCGAAGCCACACTGCCACGCCGGAGAGGCAAACACAGCTGCCGTCTCCCGTCTGCGGCCTCTCCGTTTAACAGGCCTCCCTCCCAGGAGGCAATTTGGGAGGGGGCCCAGGCCCACCATCTCTGCTCCCCGGGACACTGCCCTGGGCCCTCAGCGGCGAGTACTTTCCAGGCAGTGGGCGGTGGGAAGTGGGCTGTGGGGAGGGGAGAGGACCCTGCCTCCTAGCTACGTGCTGCGGGGTGGACGAGACACACCGACCATGGGGCTACTGTCTCCTTTAGGAGATGGAGGACAGCAGGGCTCAGAGAGGTTAAGCACCCACCCCCAGGTCACACAGCAGGTGGCAGGGCCACAGTTCAACTTCCGTCCTCAGGGCTCAGCTCTTGCCCCCACCCCGACTCTGCCCCAGGTGGCCTTCCTCACACTGCCCGACGTGCCCAGGACGGCTCCTCGGTGATGGTGCAAGCCCGGTGCCCACGTGCCTCCCCAGCCCGAGACCTGGGCGGGGGTCCCAGGCTCCAAGCCTGCAGCGGCCCCCCCGGAGGGAAGCGCACCACCCAGCAACCTGTGATTAATCTCCCCGTGCTCATTAATTCCCGGATCTCTGTCGTCATTAGAGGCGGTGGGCGTTGTGCGCCGGGGCCACATGCCGGCCGGCTCTGAGCGGTTACGAGAAGTCCGGCGCTCCTAATTGCCTCCCCGGCCTCCGATGGGCTCATTAGAGGTAATGAAATCTCGGAGCGAGGCGTGCTGTCCTCCAGGGAGACGTGCGGGCCGGAATCTTCAGAAGGAAAACACCCCTGGGATGCAGGGGTGCAGACGGCCATGCAGGCTGGGGTGGGGGCTCCGTCTGTGGGGCAGCAGGGCCAGGCCCCAGGACAGGGGCAGCGTCCCACGGAAACTTCTGGCTCCTTCCCCAAAGCAACACCATCTGCCACCATTTCTTGGCAGAGCCGGCCTCGTGCCCCCACCCCCGCCCACTGCCCCCTTCCTGGCGGGGTTGGGGCTCCTGCCTCCTCCCTGGCCTCAGTCTCCAGCCTCACCCCTGCCAGTTCCTCAGCCCCACGGGGCCTCCACGGAGCTCTCTAGAACCAGCCAGGCTCCCTAGGGCCCCCGGGACAAGCCCCCAGTCTTGTGGCCGCACACTCAGCCCTCCAGGGTCTGGCCTCTGGTCTCAGGACTCTCCACCCCGCTCAGCAGTGACTTCCCGTCCGCCCGCGCCCTTGGCTCCCCATTCTGATCGGATCCGGATCCATCTCCCAGCAGAAACCTCTCCCGGCCTCCGAGGCCCTGCTCGCTCCTGGGCTCCCACCTGCACGTGGTCTGGGCGTGTCCTGCCCACCCTGGCCCTCACCGTCACTCTTTGCTCGCCGGTGTCTCCACTCCTCACCCGAGAGCTCCTCTCCGGGTCCTCAGCAAAACACAGCCTGGGCCTCGTACACAGTAGGCGCACAGTAAGTGTGAGCCCGCATGAGTTGGCAAGGCCGCCTCCTCTTTCCCAGCACGTTCAGAGACGGTCCCACCACCGGACACACCGTTTCCCGGAGGAGGGGGACAGCCCTGCACCCGCCCGCGCTGGAAGACGGGGTGCGCTCAGCCACCCCAGAGAAAGGGAGACCTCTCAGAGAGCTCAGATGCAAAGAGGCAATAGTGGGGTGCCCTGGCGCCCTGCTGCCCCCACCCCACCCCAGCACACACGACCTTGGCCTGGGGATGGGGGGAGCTAGACCAGGACCGCCTGCGTGCCTGGCTCCAGCCGCCGTGACAGCGACAAGGGCCACCTCCCCCAGCGCTTCAGGTGCTCCTGGGAGCTGGGAGGGGCTGGAATCTCCAACTTCCCGGCCGTCCTCAGTGCCCCCCCATAGGGTTCCTGACTGCACCCCACTCGCCCCGGGAGATGCTCAGGGCTGGTCCACCCGCCAGTTTCCTGTAACAAATCGCCGCGCTTAGTGGCTTTCCAACAGCACAAGTTCATCGCACACAGTGCTGGAGGGCAGGAGGCTAAGCCAGGTCTCCCTGGACTAACACCGAGAGGCCCACTGGGCCATGTTCTTCCTGGAGGCTGGGGGGTCCACTCCCTTGCTTGTTCCAGCGTCAGAGGACACCCACGCCCTGGGCTTGTGGCCGCGTCCCGTCTCCAAAGCCAGCAAGGCCTGGTCCGGCCTCCTCCCACCACACCTCTCCCGCCCGGCTCTCCCGCCCGGCTCTACGGTCCCTGAGGACCCCGTGACTGCATCAGACCTGCCCAGACCACCCAGGCCATCACCTACCCACACCTGCGCCGTCCCTTTGCTGTGTAGGTAACAGAGGCACAGGTTCCGGGACTCGGTGTGACTGTCCCTGGAGCCATTGGCTGTGCCTGGGAGCTGTCTCAGGGAGGCCGGAAGCCTCGAGGCCCTGCCCCCGTGGGCGCTGGGGCGGCTGGAGAGAGCCCCCATCTGGACCAAGCAGGTTCTCTCTGGGCCCCCGGGGCCACGCCTGTGGGGACAGGGATCTACATCCAGAACTGAGATATTTGGATCATATTGTAGTTCTATTTTTGATATTTTGAGAACCTCCTTACTGTTTTCCATAGTGGTTGTACTAATTTACATTCCCACTAACAGTGTATAAGGGTTTTCTTTCAGCCACGTTCTTGCAAACACTTTTCTTTATCTCTTCTTCCTCTTCCTCTTCTTCTTCTCCTCCTCCTCCTTCTCCTCCTCCTCCTCCTCTTCTTCTTCCTCTTCCCCTTCCTCCTCCTCTTCTTCTTCCTCTTCTTCCTCCTCCTCTTCCTCCTCCTCTTCCTCCTCTTCTTCCTCTTCTTCTTTCTCCTCTTCTTCCTCCTCTTCTTCTTCTTTCTCCTCTTCTTCTTATTCTTCTTTTTTTGATAATAGACATCCTAGTAGTGTGAGACTTTGATTTGCGTTTTCCTGATGATTAGTGATGTTGAGCATCTTTTCATATACCTTTTGGCCATTTGTATGTCTTCTCTGGGGAAATATATATTCAGTTCTTTCTCTCATTTTT